CAGTGTTGGGGAAAGTTACTTTCAAAAGTAATGCATTACAATATTGCGTTACTCCATAAAAAAGTAACTAATTATGTTAGTTACTTTTTATGGAAAATAATGTGTTATGTTACTTTTGCGTTACTTTTTAAATCTGGACAGCGCTTGCTTGTTTGTTTTTAAAATAAAAAAGTTATATTTTTGGCAAATATAAAAGCCTTTTCACACCAAAAGTGAAATGAATAAGCCTCAGGCTGAAGGGAAAGTAAATTTGCATCCGTACAGTAGAATGCAGAAGAAGAAATGTCAACACACTTCAGCAATAAAAAAACACACACAAATGTTTGTCTAGAGTAATTTGTGCTTATTAGTACGGTTGAACTGGATCATCGAATGTCATAAGCAAAGACATTGGTTAATAGAATGGGATTAAATACATAAAGGATATTTGTGTTGTTTAACATTTAATTATTGCAGGTTTGCGTAATATTCTGAGTTGCATTATTTTTATTCATTTTGAGGAATACTGAATCTGTGGGGTTTTTTTTTGTGAGTGAGATTAATTAATGCATATTCATATTTATTTTAGAACTACAGCAACATCTTCTGATTTCTCTCCGCCTGGGGACAGGAGAGCTGTCCATCAATAAATTGGGAAAAAAAAAGTAACTTGCATTACTTATTTGAAAAAGTAACTCAGATAGTCTCTTGTAAACAAGTACTTGAAAAAAAGTAATCTGATTACGTAACTCGCATTACTTGGAATGCGTTTCCCCCAACACTGACCTTTGATACACTTGTCTGTCTGCCCAGATGTCAAATATGCCTGGTTTCAAATCCTAGACTTTAAATAGACACCACTTTGTTAAAATGAACAGATGTCTGATCTTACAGTGGTAAATTACGGTGTGCCACAATGCTCGATAATAGGTCCTTTGCTCTTCTCCTTGTTCGTGCTTGCTTGGGTGATATCACTAGGCTGAATAGAATTAGTTTTTATTGTGTCATTGTATTTTGAGAAAAAAAAGATGTGAAATTTAACTTACACAAAGGTGTCATTAAAACATTAGTTAAAAACTGATGTATTTATAATAATTGATCATCCAATAATATACATATATTGTGTTCATACAGTTGCGCTCATACATTTGTATATGTTATCTGTAAACATTGTCAGTTTTGTGGGTCTGTATGGGAAATTTAAATTGTGAAAACTGACAGTATTGCACATTGTATGATCAAGAAAATAAATACCGTAGGCACAATTAGTCAAAATTAATGGTGCACTCTAATTACATTTTTGTTAGTTCAGCATCAAGTGCAGTGCTATCAATACAATTCAGACTCACACTCATGCATTAAGCTAGTTATTTGACTCTGAATTTTGCCTTTGTCTTTTCTTCAGCAAAATAATACAGTAGAGTCTGTTTCTTTCATCAAGTGAGATGTATATTTACTCAATTCAGAGTTTGAGGCCACTGACGTGACTCCAGGAAGTGGAATTACTTTAGACAGGAGTCCGTTAGCATGGCGGATTTAACTCTAAATCACTAAACTCATTATGCACACTGATTAATGAGTTTTCTGAGTGGGCGGTGCTAAAGTCTTTGTTGGCCATGCTAATGAAAGGACTGTTTAGATCTGTGAATAACACAGAGGGGAGAAACTTTGATCTGAAGAGTAAACAGATCCATCCGCATAATTAGTCGTGAATCTAAATAAAACGCTAAGCTCCGGGGACTCACATGAGAAAACTGAACGAGAATGTGGAAAGGACTTTGTTTAATGTTGTTTTATCTCATCGTCCTTGGAGACTAATTGCTCAGGTCTGACAGTGTGTGGAGCTCCCGAATCTAATCAGTCAATCAATCATCCAGTCAATCATCAGCTGTCATGTGCACAGACAAACTACTGTAATGAAGCACACAGAGGCCTGATTACACCTGGTCACATGAGACAGATTGCTGTTTACACATCGGGCTTGCACAGTTAATATGATGTGAATAAAAATGAGACCTGAGGGATGGACGTACAGTTGGGCAGAAAACTCAAAGGTTCATGGGATATGGTTATTTGATGTGATTAAGGACATGATCTAGCTTTGATGAGAACAAGTGCAAAAAACAGCACACCAGCAAGTCAAAAATTAACATGCGCCAAGCCAAATGTAAGTAAAAACTGGCTTTGGCACGTAAAATATAAAATAATTACTCTCCAGTTTGCTAGTATTTTTCTGAGGAACTGCAACATAACACATAGTTTAAAGGGATAGTTCAACCAAAAATTAATATTCTGTCATTAATTACTCACCCTCATGTCGTTCCAAACCTGTAAGACCTTTGTTCATCTTTGTAACACAAATTAAGATATTTTACATCAAGGAGATGTAAGTAGATCAAGGACATCATTAAAACAGTCCATGTGAAATCAGTGGGTCCACAGTAATTTTATGAAGCTACGAGAATACTTTTTGTGTGCAAAGAAACCAAAATAACAACTTTATTTAACAATGTCTTCTGTTCTGTGTCAATCCCTGCCACCATTCACAATCACGACAGACCACGACCCATACGTGTGCATTCCTCTGCTTGTAAACAAGCCGCAGCAAATGTGTGTTTTATGTCAGAACGCCGGCTCTTGCGTCAGCAGCATCACACACATCTGTTGTGGTACTCTCGAGAATGGGCGGAGATAACTTAATGACAGAATTTTCATTTTTGGGTGAACCATCCATTTAAATTGATCTGTCAGAATGGTTGTCTTACTGATGAAAATATCTGTCTACTAAAGAAAACATCTGGAACTTGCAATTGTGAAAAATTAAGTATTTGCGACTTATCTTAATTGTAAGAAAAGTTGCAATTACCTTTATTGTTTTTCATTCCATGGCAGAAACAGGCTTCCATATGGACTTTAACATCAGTGGATAATTTATCATCAGATGTAACTAACGTTTCTGTACCCCATTTACACATGTATTTCGTGCTGAACACTTGTGATTGGACCACCACAAATCCAGAACCAAAGCAAAATCGAGACGTATCCAGCACATCATGAACTCCGAACAGACATATACATTCAGACAGAACCACTAGAGAACAAACAGTTTGAATTATAAAATGTAACCCGTTTCTGTTGTTTTGCTCTTGTCTTCCAGGTGAGATTCTGAGGGGTTTTATTCTTTCATTCCTCTGGCCGGAGACAGCTCAGATGACGAGGGTTTCATGAACGGTAAGACCAAATGCATCTGTGATTTACTACACTTGAAACAATTTAAAATGTAAAAATAAATAAACGAATATCTATAATTCAATACTTTCTGATCTCTCCCTAGTCTCGTTTGCATACTTCTAAATCTGCTTTAGCAGTTTGTAGCCTGTCAAGCCAACAGTACTCTATGTTAGATTGACGGTTGTTTGGCATAAATTAATATTCCACTGATTCTGTCAACTGCAAAATGGTTAAAAAGAACATCTTAGTGGGTTCAAAAGATAAGGCTTATTAAACCTAGTAAACTTGAGGTGTGTTTCTTGGGCTTTTCCCATTGCATGTAACCTTAAAGTTTATTTTCTGGTTAAACCCTGGTAGTTCTGGAGCAGTGTTAAACCCATGATTGCACTGCTGAAGCTGTAGAGTACAGAGCGACAGTGTTGGATTAAAACAGCCAGTTGCTTAACAACAAACAAACAACCAATAGAATAGCCTCATTTCAGTCACTGGAACTGCCTTGCTTGATTCCTACACTTAAAAACGTCTTCTTTTTTTTTAATACCTTCTGTATCTTAATATATCTCACAAATTTGCATAAAACACAAATTAAATTATACAAATAAAATTCAATAACACATTCATCTATGCTAATATTACATGTAAGGACAATAATTTAAATACAATAAAATAAGAATAATAAAATTAGAACAAAATTAGAACAGTTATGTGATCATATAGTGGTTTTGTTGGCATACTTACTGTATATTATTATACTCATATTAAACACACACAAACACCCATACTGGTTTTCATTTTTTCTAGGTTCATTCCATAGGCGGGATGGTTTTTCTACTGTACAAACTCTATTTTCTGTTTAATATCCTTGCGTGGACATTTGGTCACACACAGACACACACACACGCACGCACACATACGCGCACACACACACACACACACACACACACACACCCACATACACACACACACACACACACACACACACT